TACTGATGTATGGTTCAATGTCTACATCTTACATAACACTACATGGAGTAGGAGTGAATCTTACCTAACATCTTACTGACATATAGTTTACTGTCTACATCATACATAACACTACATGGAGTAGGAGCGAATCTTACCTAACATCTTACTGACATATAGTTCACTGTCTACATCATACATAACACTATGGAGTAGGAGTGAACCTTACCTAACATCTTACTGACATATGGTTCACTGTCTACATCTTACATAACACTACATGGAGTAGGAGTGAATCTTACCTAACATCTTACTGATGTATAGTTCAATGTCTACATCTTACATAACACTACATGGAGTAGGAGTGAATCTTACCTGACATCTTACTGACGTAGGGTTCGATGTCTACATCTTACATAACACTATGGAGTAGGAGTGAATCTTACCTAACATCTTACTGACGTATGGTTCACTGTCTACATCTTACATAACACTACATGGAGTAGGAGTGAATCTTACCTAACATCTTACTGACATATAGTTCGATGTCTACATCTTACATAACACTACATGGAGTAGGGGTGAACCTTACCTAACATCTTACTGACGTAGGGTTCGATGTCTACATCTTGCAAATGCTGATAAGTATGGGCATGGTAGAGCCTCAAGGTGCTGTCAAGCCTGATAGATACCCACACACCATCCCCAACCCACGCCATCTGTCGTACTTGGCTCTCCTTCCTGGGGTGAGCATCAAAGGACTTCTAGAAACAGATACATAAAACATATTAAAAACAGCTAATTCTAATAAATACCTAAAAAGTGTTTGTTTAATCACTTGATATCTAAATAAGGAATACAGATATGCTCACTTATAACAACTAGCACTAGAAATACATTACCTAAAACATTTTGTTTTTATACCATTTTGTTCAATCAATTTAAAAACATCAAAAAGTCAGAGAACAATAATATCAAAGAACAGAAAGTAAATGTTGCTTATATTTATGTTGCCTGTTAATATGAACTTATAACCTAAGATCGTTTTCATTCTTATTAAATATGAAGCTTTCATGTTCCACAAAAAAATCAATGTCAATACTAATACATTCCAACACTAGTGCAATAATGTAACGTGACTACCTAGAAATACAAATATTTATACTAATACTGCCCATCACCAGTACAGGATGTAACATAACTATCTAAAAATGTTAATATTTGTACAACTACTATCCATTACCAGTAGAGGATGTAACATAACTATCTAAAGATGTTAATATTTATACAAACACTATCCATTACCAGTACAGGATGTAACATAACTACCTAAAGACACTATCCATTACCAGTATAGGATGTAACATAACTATATAAAAATGTTAATATTTATACAAACACTATCCATTACCAGTATAGGATGTAACATAACTACCTAAAAATGTTAATATTTATACAAATACTATCCAGTACAGGATGTAACATAACTACCTAAAAATGTTAATATTTATACAAATACTATCCATTACCAGTACAGGATGTAACATAACTTTCTAAAAATGTTAATATTTATACAAACACTATCCATTACCAGTACAGGATGTAACATAACTACCTAAAAATGTTAATATTTATACAAACACTATCCATTACCAGTACAGGATGTAACATAACTACCTAAAAATGTTAATATTTATACAAATACTATTCATTACCAGTACAGGATGTAACATAACTACCTAAAAATGTTAATATTTATACAAATACTATCCATTACCAGTACAGGATGTAACATGACTCACAGTACTTGCCATCACACACTGAACACTCACAAAACCTACTATTACTGAACAATCACTTGTAAAAACAACTTGGTTCTCAAAGGCTTCATATAATTCTGAATAACTCAAAAACAACAGTTTAAACTATCAATCAAATTATCTGAAAAGTGTTAGGGTATAGGTAAAGCAAAAATATATTTGTTTAAAGAAAAAATAAGCCATTTGACCCTAACTAGCGTGAACAGATTATAGTACAAAAATAAAATACATTTATTTACAGATTAAATATTAGTTGACATACAGAAGGAAGACACATGGGCCCACAGTGAGCTAGAAAAGGGCCAGGTCTGAACAATAACCTATTCCCCTATGCAAGTCCTCTGGGTGCTCTAAGAAAATCTACTAAGTGTAACGGAGATCACAAGAATAGTACAGAGAACACATAGGGGTTGGGATCCATATTCAAATTCCCTCTCCTATGTACTCCCCTGATGGTACATTCCAAGTTTGGCTGAAATTGATCAGGAAGTGAAGGTATGAAAAGCATACAAATAGACACCCTATGATGAGAAACATTGGGGGGCATTGTTTGTTAAAATGTGTAGATGTGAAAAGATGAAACTTCTTATTTGTGTATAATCATAAGTTGTTTATAGGCATGATACCTAAAATGACAACAGATTTAAGCACTAAGCTTTTTCATATACACAAAAAAATAACTCTAATACATCATGGTTATAAAAGCAAAGACATTATTTACTCTCTAATTGTAAAATTACTCAGTAAACTTACCACAACTGACAGGGACTTTGGATCCACAACATGCACTCTGTTACGATATCCACACCAGATCTTCCCAAACACGACAGCCATGCAGCGAACCGAGTGATGAGGATGACCAAGGTCTAACAGATGATAGTTTGACAAGTCCCACTGTCCATCTGAAGGAAACAAATTTGTTCTTTTACCTCATCAAGTGGTAAGTTGACGTTCTGAGGTGTTTGCTGTTATCTTAAATCAGCAACTTGAAACATCGTCCAAAAACTTCTAATGCACATACAGACCAAATAAGCTTCAATTACGTAAGCATGGATTGAATAACTGTAAGAATTATTTCTAAAAGTATCATTGAAAATTCTAGCTTGTATATTCAGTTTTATTAAATGTATTAGGCTTAGTGTGTTTTTATTTATTGTTCAAAAAAGCCTCAATTAAATCAGTCTTCTCTCCCTAAACCTCTTCTCAAACAAGTACAGTGTTATTTATCATCAGTGATTGTTAAGAATTTCTTTAGACATTAACTTTCTTAACACAGTCTCGGTCAATTTGACCAACCATGTGACCTCTTTGTACTCGATTAAAGTCTTTATAGATTTAATACTTATAACTCTCAATATAGTGTGTACATCTTCACAAAATTTGGCAGTCTTTCAGTTAATATTTAACATTACAAGTCTTTCACATACAAAAAAATTATATTTTTAGTGAATTATTTATAATAAAATAAAATAAAGATTTGTCCATTAATATATTGAATATTTGTTTTCAATAGTCCGTGTACAAAGTAATTTTCATGTTGATCACGTGAGGGAAATGATTATCTATAGTTGTAGAGGGCAAGTGAAGGAAGTGATTACACACTGTATGTACTGTTGATCATGTGAGGGAAATGATTGTCTATAGTTGTAGAGGGCAAGTGAAGGAAGTGATTACACACTGTATGTACTGTTGATCATGTGAGGGAAATGATTGTCTATAGTTGTAGAGGGCAAGTGAAGGAAGTGATTACACACTGTATGTACTGTTGATCACGTGAAGG